GATAGATAGATAGATAGATAGATAGATAGATAGATAGATAGATAGATAGATAAAAATATAAGATAAAACTAACCTAAGTCTGGAAATATATCTCCCTTTTTGGCAATTATTAACTGGTGGACAGCAGCAGAAATGGTAATGAAGTTACACATTGACTGTTGTGTGCCCACTTTTTTTAAAAAAATGTATGTGAATCCTTTTATGCAACCTGTAGCACACTGATAACTTCTTAATGAGAAAAAAAAAGGTAGGGTGGTAGTAAGTGTTTGAGGAAAGGAAGAAAACTGGCAGGGGACTTATTAGTTGTGCTTTCAGGTAAAGAATATTTTGTGACTAGCCATACTTCCCCAGTGGCTAATACATTATGTCAGTGCCCATAGATTCTCTCAGAATCCCATTGTGCCCACTGGTTCAAGAGGGTGTCTACTTTGTGATACAGATTTTCCCATTCCTGATTCAGTTCATTGACTGCTGTCTGAAGATGCAGATGAAGTATGAGAAAGATTGAAAATCTGAATTGTCCTACCCTTAGTATGAGAGAACCACAGAATTTTACAGATTTTCAGGTTAGATGAGTCATCTAAATATGGTCCCTGACTTCCTACTGGGCATTATTCTTTTATCTCAAAAATAGAAATAAGGAAAGTTTCTCATGAGCTTAATCTTTTCATCACTGTAAGTCTTGGCAAAGTCTTTGCATTTTTTAAACAAGTTAAGGCAGGCAAAACAAAAAACAAAAACCAAAAAAACCAAAACTGGAAATGATCTAATTTCCCCCCCTCATTTTATTCCTTCTTCTGTTCTCTGCATATACCCAACTTGTCTATTTACCATTAAAACGAGAATAATATAGTTGCACCTTGTCAAAGCTACCTTATAGACAGATTTTGTCTGAATCAAAAGTAATAGAAGAGGAATTAGATATGTATTTAGTTGCTTCAAAGACTTCTTTTAAAAGCAAGTTTAGTTTAAAGGTGTGGCTTCTTGGCATGTGTGTTGAAACTTCTGTAGTCAAATCTATTGTCAAAATTGTTGTTGAAGCACGTGGTTCACAAAGCAGGAATTTAAGAGAATGCTTTCAGGCATGTCACACCTTGTGTC